TAGGTCATCCCCGGTTGCCAGTACAAGGTCGAGCAGTGCTTTGCCTCTCGTCAGCCCACAGACTTCCTGCATCAGATAGAGGCCTTAAATGCCCCAGGACACAGGCAGACAAGGTTCTTTGGGTAAATGTGATATATTTTATTAGATAAAACTAAATAGCTGGAAAAGTTGTTCTTTGCAAGCTTTTGGGCAAACACCTTCCTTCAGGCACAGGGGCAGTCTGCTGGTGTTTTGTGCTCTCCTGGATGGAACAGAAGCCAATATGCAAAATGCAAGTGTCTGTGAAATTACAAATGCATGGCAGCGAGGATCAGAGGTGATGGGAGACAATAGATGAGAGACAGATGGGGGGGGGGGGCATGTCTCACACCTATCATCTCCCATGGCCTCTGATCCTCACTGCTATGCATCTGCAATTTCACAGGAAGAAGCAAGGATTTTTTGGGGGTGATCTCTTTTATTGGACCAACTGCATGGTTGGGATAAAGTTAGACAAGCTTTCAAATGCAAGGCATTCTTCAGCATGTCTGAGGGAAGCAAACACAGCTTTTTATCTTATGTCAAAAAGCACATAAAACCACGCAGCAATGGGCATCTTTTTGATTTAATATGCTAGGAAACTTACCCGTTGTTATTCAACAAAGATCCTTTTGATAAGCTTTTTAAAAAAGTCCTCCTTTAAGTAGGTTTCACTATACAGCTTCTATAAGGTTAGGTGGATGGATTTAATCTTTAACTGTATTAACAACTAATTAATTTATGGGCATTTGGTTCTGGATGTAGCATAGCTAGAGATCCCTGCTGAGATGCAGCATCTGTGTGTAAGCAAAACATTTGGGACACACATTTGTTTTCGGTTCAGCTGATGAAGGCACAAGGTAAAAGGCTTCTTGGCTTTTTCAGACAGCTTGTGGTTTCGTGCCTGATAAAAGCATTCTTTGCTGTGTGGATAATGCCATTATCTTCCCTATATACTGTTTCATTGTATTTATGTGAACACACAACTGCTGCAATTGAGACTAACCTCAACAAAGCCAATTTTGGACTGAACAATGAACCTGGCTGCTTATACCACAAGCCTGTTTTAGCTGTACTCTTTGGGAGGGCTAGACTGCAAAGCCAAGAGACATCCCATAATTAGCACAGCTGTGTAGGGTGAGGTTAAGTGTGTAATAATTAATTTTATTACTGCTCGCTAAGAACCGCAAAAATCATGTTTCGTACATAAAACTTTGGCCCAAGGTGGGAGGTTTTTGGCAGCATATGAGCAAGTTTTATCTGGTCAGACCTGATTTAAAAATGCAACATCAGCGCAAAGAAAGCCAGGCTGTTTCAATGAACCTTTGCATTTGAAGTCTCCCCCCAAAAAACAGCAAGTTAAATTTCTTCGCCGCCTAGTGAAGCTGTAAACAAAGAGCAAGTTAAAAGGTGCTTGCAGTGTCTAGCAATAGCACTGGCTCCAAAGGTTGGAAGTAGCCAGGGGCATACTGGAATAGTGACCAGAGGCTGGGATACCGGCCTTCTCTGCCACACTGCAGTAGCTGTCTTTAGGTTTTGAACTGCCATATATGTTGGGCACAAGGGATTTTTCTGACTGGTGCCCCATCTGAAGGGCAATAGCAGATGGTATGCAAAACCAACAAAGTCTAGTTTAACAAGGAGCATAGCAGGTACATGGATACCCCATTGTCTGCTCAGTCTTTACTGTTGCTTGGGGACTGATAACATTTTTTGTTCACATATGACAAACT